CTGGATTCCTCTTGTCTAAAGAAACATCCCTTGTTTAAATAGGGAGAACTGACTTGATCCAGAGAGTATTCATAGCAGCCGGACAGCCTTGAGGACTTTCTGATCCTCCATCAGCTTCAGAAAGGAGAATCACCTGAGGGATAGGAGGGGATGCCCTGGCTTGGCCCAAATACACCCCCAGACTTCCCCTCTGCCTTAGAAATGGCAGGGAGGGCCCAGCAAGTGCCCGGCGATTTCTGCATGCCTTTCTAGCTCCATCACGGGAAAGATAGCTGGCGCTTGGCCAACCTCATCACAGCTAGCAGGGCAGGTGTCACATCCAATAAATGGATATAAAATAAGGAAAGGGAGCTCCTCTATTCAGAGACTGTCTACCTTTGAAATGAGGACAGGGAAAAGCTATCGCTAGGAACCTTCCCGAAGGGGTCAGGCCGGTCACTCCTGCCCTGCTGGGCTGGAGAGGGTCCGGTCTTGCAGAATCCGCCTTAAGATGTCATGTTCCGATCTGCTGAGTGGGTTATTTCTCCTACTCTCCTGGGGGCCACCTTCTCATCACGCCAACATGAAAATAAGATTCAAGCCTTTGGGTAAGTTAGGCATGCCTTTCTCCTGTTCCTGCTGGTAAGAAATGGTGCCTGGGCTGCCGCCCTTTCTTCGCCGCAAAGCAGCGCATGGATTCTGGTAAGCACCAAAGAGGAAGAGGGATTTCACCCACCCCTTGCCGAGCACTTTGACTTCCAGATACTGTACTCCAAGCCCAGCACCATTTCCCCTCCTGCTACACAGGAAGGCCAGAAGTTTGGGAACCTTCACACAGGGACAAGCTATTCCCAGTTGAAGGACAAGTGGAAAGTGGAAGGATTGTAGCCAAAGTGGAAGGGCACAAATGGCCCAGTTTAGTTTAGTTTAAATAAGGTGTATTTATTTTTCCCCTTGGTGGTGGTGATGCCAAGTGCTCTCAAGTTCCAATATCTGTCCCCCCGCCCGACTGCACAACTTTTGCAGGACTGTAGCGGAATGCAAAAAGGTGACATCATTCCTGCCTGTCCATCACAGCAGCTAAGAGGGAGGAGCCAAGGATAGAGCAGGAGGGGCGGAGTTAGAATTACAGTTAGAAGGAGCTGAAGGACAGCTAAGAGCCAGTTAGAGTTAGGGAGAGGTAGAAAGAGTCAGGGACCTGAAGATGTACAGAGAGTGTTAGGGTTTAGGAACAGGTTAAAGAGGTTTAGGAGAGAATATTGAAAGTAAAACACATGTAACAAGCAGGAATAAACGCTTAAACATAACAAGAGAGATATTAAAGTGATAGTAAAGTGATTGATTGAACGATCTTAAAAGTATTAACACCCGATCCAATTCCCATATGATTTTCCTGTTAAAGAATAATAAAATAATACTTAATCAATCATAAACCCTGCTTCCTAAAGTATATGACCTTTTGGGGTGACAGTTCCTGTGTGTGGGACTTGAGGTGGTATTAAGAGAATACCTGGTGGCAGCGAAAAGGGCGTGTTTACCTGTGTGGAGCCCAAGGAAATAGGGGCCACAAAGGGGTGATCACCATAAGGACAATTATGCATAATGTGAAGCTGTGAAAGTTGTGATGAAATTTGCACCAAAGTAGAAATCTTATCAAGGATGCATTTCCGCAGATGACTCTGTGTGGTCAGTTTGGGGGAACAGAGTAATAGACTACGACTCAGGAGACCCGGCTTCAATTCCCTGGCTCTCCCATAGAAGTTCACCGGGTGTGTGGAACTGGTAAAACCACTCCTGAAATACCTCACTCACTTTGAAAATCCTATCAGGGTCACTCTAAGTCTTCTCTGATTTGTTGGTGCATAACAACAAATGACTGCTATTTCTTGCCTGGGATCCTTATTTTTACAGCACTGCAAAGCCATATGCAGAAGGGCCCATGATTTCTATGTTGTAATCTGTGAGCATAGATGGAGCTTATAATTGGGAAGTGGTTTGGGCAGGATCCTATATAAAAATCATGTGGATCCATGAAGATCCATGCCTCAGATCCATGTTTTTGCACCATTGCCAAATCATGCACTGAAAGACCCATGATTTCTGTGGTGTAATCTGCACACACAGATGGGATCTATTAATTGATGATGGTTTGGCACAGAAAAATCATATGAAATCATAAGGTTCTCGTCTTGATTTCATGGATCCAGCTTTTATCCAGATCTTTCAGTGTCTTCCTTATCCAGCAAATGTGGTGCCCTGCTATGTCCTGCCTTGAATTTTAAATAAATCTATATGATCACAGGGGACGTGGTAGCACTGTGGGCTAAACCACAGAAGCCTTTGTGTGCTGCAGGGTCAGAAGACTAGCAGTCGTAAGATCGAATCCATGCGACAGAGTGAGCTCCCGTCGCTTTGTCCCAGCTCCTCGCCAACCTTGCAGTTCGAAAGCATGTAAATGCGAGTAGATAAATAGGCACCACCTTGGTGGGAAGGTAAAACAACGTTCCATGTATAGCCGCGCTGGCCACGTGACAATGGAAACTGTTTTTGGACAAATGCTGGCTCTACGGCTTGGAAACGGGGATGAGCACCGCCTCCTAGAGTCAAACACAACTGACTAAAATGTCAAGGGGAACCTTTACCTTTTTATATGATCACAGTTGTTTCTTTTGAACTAGAAGTGGTCAATGTGTCTTTTCTCCACACTTTTTGGCTCTTCCTATATTGCATTGTGTGCCTCTAGGAGACTATAAATAAAGTTTGTTTGTCTTCTACAACCCGTCATAGGGGTTTGACTACAGTTGTGTAGCTTGAAACAAGAGTAATCTCCTGAATATAAGCAAGTTTTAATATTCGTATCTTTTATTTCATTATTATTTCCACACAACTATAGTTGTCATTTTTTATAGGTAAACAACGCATTACATTTAATTCAATGGATTAAAAAACAACATACACATAGCGACATTTGTTTTCCTGTCACAGGGTGCAAACTTAAAACACTTCATTTGTACTTCTGGGATTGCCTAAGAGCTGAGGCCAAAGTAACAGAGAACTGTTACATTCAGATCCACTAATCAATTAGCCCAGGATATTTCCAGACTTTTAAATGTGTATTTAAAGCATGTTAATATTCACTTGTCAACTGGTTAAACAATATGTACATCTAATGGTTGTTATGGGTTTTTCGGGCTTTTTGGCTGTGTTCTGAAGGTTGTTCTTCCTGACGTTTTGCCAGTCTCTGTGGCTGGCATCTTCAGAGGACTGGAGTAGGAACTCTGCCTATGCTCTGTGACTTCCTACTCCAGTCCTCTGAAGATGCCGGCCACAGAGACTGGCGAAACGTCAGGAAGAACAACCTTCAGAACACGGCCAAAGAGCCCCAAAAACCCACAAGATCCGTCAGAACCCGGCCGTCAAAGCCTTCGAGAATACAATATACATCTAAATGGTTTCTGAAAAATGAACTATACAATCAAGATTCAGTATGATCATAGAATTACCATATTGTCAATGTATATTTACATTCATAATAATAAATCTCACCAAACAATTTATATAAATAAGAATATTCAACTAGTCTTTGATGTGAAATAAGTAAATTCAGAACAAAGGAATATTTTCAAAACTCATGCACACATGGGAGTACATTTAATAATAAGCTAGTTCACTAAAGGTAACCAAGTCTTTAGTTTATGCTACAATGTCTGCTATAGATTTGTCTATAGCCTAAATGAGACAAATAAAATACACTCTTCATTGTGACTGTAAATGTTCAGGAAGGGATTTGTCCTGCAATTTGCAACCCAGTCATTGTTTTAAAAAAAATCATTAATTAATAAAGCAGGAATATTTTGTAACCTTGGCTAAATGTTAGTGTCTGACACTATCAAAATAACTATTGGGTCTAAAATGTACCTTTGGAATATTCCCAAATATTTAGTATATGAGAATATTTGCTGCAACTAATGTCCATGTATGATGAAATGATATGTGGTGGGTAAGCGCACTCTGAATAAACTGTATGTGCCAAAACTGAAAAACGAAGGTGTTTTGACATATCTAGAATCTTCTACAGTTGAGCTGACGTCTTTTGGAAGAAGTCCCAAACACACTGTCACTGCGCTGCAATAGCAGAAACAGCCTTGGATCTGACAAGGTATCAATTTGCCATTTCCACTGGGATCACTCTTTCCTTTTCCCTTTTCATTCCCTCCCTGAAGTGACACAGTGCTTATCTAAATCAGTGCAGACTTTGAACAGTCTCCCCCCCTCAAAGAAACACCGTTTGGAAACAACAGGAGTTTGGTTGAAGGGAACGAAGACCACCCCAGGAGTGCCACTTTGCATTGGGTCAAGCGATCATGTAGGGCGGAAAGTGGGGAAAAGTGATACCAGTGAATCGGAGCAAAATGAAGCAACCCCTGCTGATAGAACAAAGAAATACGATTTTTTCCACTGAAAAGAGACCATTCCCCATCAGGCTTCCCTACACTGACTTTTATGCTGTTTAGTTGCTCCCTCAGCTGTGATTATTCAGAAACTTTGGGTTGATATAAAGGAGTTATTTTTTAGGTCCAAGATCAGATGCAATCTGCTGCCTTTCTTTCAGATGCAAAATAACTCAAACAAAAACTACGCACCTATGACACACTGCCAAAGGAGTCACAGACCTGTTTTCAAACATTGGCCAAAATCAATATTCCACTCTTCAGTGTCAAACAGTCGTAATCTGCTGAGAAAGCCCTCAGCAGCCAAGAAAAAATAACTTTAAATCTAAATTTTCACATTTTACCTGTAAAATGACAGAAAATGTTAAGATCTATTTACAACAATGAAGACACTCAGCCAATTTAGACAAGAGTATGCCTCAGTATGTCGAAATAATAATAATAATAATAATAATAATAATAATAATAATAATAATAATAATAATAATAATAATAATAATAATAATAATAATAATAATAATAATAATAATAATAATAAGAATAAGAATAAGAATAAGAATAAGAATAAAGGGAAATTGGAGGGAATAGGCATCGACATGCAGGTGTGAGGTTCCCACCAAGATGTATCAGCTCAGCTTTAGAATATTCCAGATCATTCTCCTCAAGCACAGGGAAACACACTAGTATAAGTCACATAGACCATGAAAAGGAATTGTATATACTTCATAAGTGATAAATAAATAATAAATAAATAGTAATAAGTTAACAAAGACAACATACCTTCAATGCCCTTTCTTTGCAAATTCTGTTAAAACAGAATAGTGATAGCAAAGTGTGCTGCGTATATACATCCCATAGCGCTTAAAGCACTGATAGACGTACGAGTGAAGAGCAAAGCCAGTCATGCCCCTTCTGTCAAACATCCATCGCAAGTCAGGTTGAACAGTGGCTTTGGATGACTATGGGAACGACAGTGTAAGATCATGATTATGGATGCTAAATTGAGCAGGCTCTGTGCTCATGGCAAGAACAGTGAGCACGATGGCTGTGTTCCTAGGAAGCATTTGTTTGGCACTTGAATGGCAGGACAGTATCACACGAAAGCTGTTGCCAAACATAGTTAAACCTCCAAAGAATCACTAAATGTTTGAATACTACTGGGCCTTGGAACCAAATATACCGTATGTAATGCAGCAGGTGCTGCCTTGCTGGCTCAGTTCAGACAGCTCTGACTACATAATAAAAACAGTACTAAGTCTCTATATGTCTCTATAGTACAGTTTTCCTCTCAATTATACAAGGAACACAGAGCCAAGCTGAAATTCCTACCAATAGCATACCGGACTTGACAATACCGCTTGTTTCTCCTCTTGTGTCTCATATGAATTAGGGGCTCCTTTGTATTCCTATGAGATTGGAGAGCTTTTCACAGTTCTCAAGTTTTAAGGATTCCGCTTTCTGTTTCAGCCGCTCATCTCTGTATAGCTTTGCCAAATTAGATAACTCTGATTCTGAAAGATGAAAAATAATAAAGAAGGTGGTTATGCTTAAGACCCCCCAAAAATCTAAGATTTTTTCCCCCAAACTGGACTACTTTTAAGACAATACGAAAGACTCATGGAAATATCGCAGGAAGGGGAAGGTACAGTTTGAAAGAGGAGACTGCTTGATTAACATGGTTCGCTGGCCCTTTCTTTTTTGGTGACAAGGCCTCGGCATTACAGAGTCTCCTTGGGCAACCTTTGTTTTTAGTATATACAGTACGTGTTGACACCCAAGCTAGGACAATAAAAAGGCAATTTCTATTCAGTGAAGGGAAGTTACATACTGATACAGCTGTAACATGTTTATTTACTGTATTTTTTGCACCATAAGACTCACTTTTTTCCCACAAAACAGGGGGGTGGAAAGTCTGTGCATCTTATGGAGCGAAGAAAACAGATTATATTTTCCTGTTTTCTTCTCCTAAAAAATCGGTGCGTCTTATGGAGCAAAAAATACGGTATATATGCACACAGATCCCAGGATAATTCTGAAAAGCAAATAATCCACTAATTTATATTTATCTGTTTTTAACCCAGTTGAAGTCGGACTGTGCATGTATGATTATAGCTGACAGAGTCTGTGGTTACTGGAGGCTTATGAAACCCAAAGTTGAGCCGGAGCAGTGATTATGACATCACTGTCTGTATTATGTGTACTGTGTGTGCTGCAAACACTTGTGAATTTCATTGTATTTGCATATTTCTGGCACAGAAAGCCTGGTGGGATATGAGAGGAAGGAGACTGTGAGAAAATTCATCCTGCAGGCCTTTACAAGGTCTTAACTGATGATCAACCAGCAGGTATAAAAAGAAAGTGTAACTTTAAATGACTCTTTATCAACAAAGTTGGAAGTCCTAGTAGTGGCTGATGAATGACAGGATATTTAGTAAACCAAGTGAAGGGTAAACTGCAGGGTTGAGTAATGAAAGATTAGCTGAAATTCTGTTGCATACTGTAGTAAGTCAGAACTACAGGAGGCCCATTGTGTCAGTGGGTTTGGAGTGTCCGTTCAAGATCTTCCATTGATTTAATGACCCTACTCTAGTTATGGTTTACTACGCTAAGCAATAGGATTCCAGCTATTGTTTTAATTCAGATGTTCTTACTTCATAAACAAATGCAGTTACAAAATGCTATCTTTTCAAAATAATTTAGCTTAAAATGGAACATGACTCCCACAAAATTGTTAAATTATATTTACCTTTAAAACAAAATTTACAGTTCTATAAAACACTTCATTTTAAGTCAAAGGTCTGCAAAGTCATCACCATCTCTTGCCAGGCACGAGTTCCAGCTGCTCTGATTATACGTTGCTCTCATCAGCTTGGACTATGTGTTTGTTTGTCTCCTGCTCAGTACCTGTCATTTGACCACAGGACTGCCATCCACCCAGAGAAAGTGGTTTCCAGGTCAGTTTTTCCAACCCTATTCCTTCAGGCCATTGTTCTACAGTATGTCTTGCCTCTGCCCTGACATTGTCATGATTCCTTTAGCCAGCCTGTTGGCCAGCCTCCCTGCTTCTGTTTTTCCTTGCCTTCCTGTAAATATTTTATGCCCTAGGTTGTTGGATAATAATCTCCTTTCATTTAGCTTATCTTGCTCCCAACTTCTTATATACCTACCTTTCTTTTTTAGCAGTGGCAGGCAACATCAGGTCTGGTGCCAGCTGCAGACCATAAGATGGAACAAGGAGCTAATTTTTTGTTTTGCATTCTGTCTAAATTTAGCAGCGAAATGACAAAAGGTAGTGGGGAAAAATACTTCTAATTGCTGCAAACACCTTGCCACACTAAAATAAACAGGCAGAAGATGGACACTTTGTTTTAGAGAAGAGACTATTCCTCATTTTTTAAAAAATGAGTCTTCTGCACACTTTTAGTGTGGATATGTGGATTATTTTTCAGCTGTGTTGCTATGCTGCCAATGTTTTGGCAGAATACTGCATAACTGAGTTATTTATGTATATCCTGCTCTTCTTGCAGTACAGGACTGAGCGGGGCTCACAAGATGAATTAAAACAAATTCAAATGAACCCAGAACAAATTCAAATGAACCCACTTGGCTATGCAATTCAATTTGAACAGGCTGGAACAAACAAAACAGGGTCACTTAATGTGTAAAGGTCTGGTGTGTCATTAAGTGCAATCTTTGCATCCACACAGCATATACACCTCAAGTAACCCAATTTGGCTCAGGTGTCTTAAGAAACTGGTTTCTAAAACCCCTCTCCTTGAGCCCTCCTCTCTCATCCTTCCTCTGGGAGGAAGATTTCAATTTTTAATTTTTTTTCTAAAAGGTATAGTGCATCAGTGCTGTCTTAACAGGCTTTTTTTAAGAGGAAAAAAAAACCTTTTTGCTTACTTCCTCTGCCCCTCCAAAGAGAAGCAGAGGAAGTTTTTAATTTCCCATTATTATGAAGTAGCTAAAGTGTCTTCTTAGGCCATCTTAATGGTACAGTGGTGCCTCGCTTAACGAGCGCACCATTTAATGACAAATCCGCATATCGACACATTTTTTGCGATCGCATTGTGATATTTTAGGTGGCAAAACATCGCACTGCGATGATTAGTAAGCGTTTTGCTTACCGATCTTTGCATTGCGATGTTTAGAAAACAGCTGATCGGTGGTTCCAAGATGGCCGCCGGATGCAGAAAATGGCCGCCCACAGCATTTTTGTGCCCTGCCCTCACTTACCGAGGCAGCGAAAATGGCGGCCGGATAGGGAATCTTCGCTTACCAGTGAGTTTTCCCCCCATAGGAACGCATTAAACGGAGTTTAATGTGTTCCTATGGGGTTTTACGTTCCGTATAGCGATGTTTCCGGATAACGACGTTAATCCTGGAACGGATTAATGTCGCTATGCGGGCACCACTGTATTTTGAAACTGAAAGTGGAAAGGAAATTTAAAGCAAGATACACTTTGGTTCAGTCCCAGTGATTGCTTATGTTGGAAATAAACCAAAAAGAAACAATCCTACCCTGCACTGAAAAACAGTAGCATTGAACAAGAACCCAGAAAGGTGCAGGTAAGAATGCTTTAGGAATGATCCGGTTCACACTGGCCATACATTTTCTAGTAGTGACAAAAGGAGCTAACCAGCCCATTCAAGCATTTTGAAGGATTTTTTCCTCTATCAACAATAGACTCCAATGTCTCAAACCTTCTGAAATCAGACATCCTCAGTAGAGTGGGATCCCTGTATCTGTGGAGGATTTGTTCCAAGCCCCCTGCGGATGCCAAAAACAGTGGATAATACCATGTTTCCCCAAAAATAAGACAGGGTTTTATGTTAATTTTTGCTCCAAAAATGCATTACGGCTTATTTTCAGAGGATGTTTTATTTTACAGTCATGTCATCATCTTCTCATTGCTGCACAATGGTGGAAGGCAGAGTTTCACTTAACTGAGGCTTATTTTTGGGTTAGGGATTATAATACGAGCATCCTGAAAAATCATACTAGGTCTTATTTTCAGGTTAGGTCTTATATTCGGGGAAACGGGGTAGCAAACGCTATACATAGCATGGTCTCTGGCTTTCTGGCTTCATTATGTTGTAAGAGGACTTCAGCATCTAATGAAGGGGTGTTTTTTTGTCTCTGTAGAATTTATGTATGTATGTATGTATGTATGTATGTATGTATGTATGTATGTATGTATGTATGTATGTATGTATGTATGTATGTATGTATGTATGTATGTATGTATGTATGTATGTATGTATGTATGTATGTATGTATGTATGTATGTATGTATGTATGTATGTATTTATTTATTTATTTATTTATTTGATTTTTACCCCTCCCCTCTAGACCATGTCTACTTAGGAATGCTTAGGAATTAACAAAAGACTTACTTTGTTGCTTTTCTTTCCTGCAGGTAGTCTGGATATGGTCAATATAATCTTTTTCAATTTGTTTTTCAAGCTCTTCAAGGTCTTCTCCCTTATAGTTATTTTCAAAGTTCTTATCAACATAGTAAGGGACCTGCAGGTTCTGTGTTTCTCTAACAACTGTGTGACCTATATTCCTGTAATGAAGCAAAAAATAGGGTTTCAGCCCACTCAAAAGTGGGGTCAGGAAATATATGTTTGTACACATAATACTGCTATTTGCAGTTACTTGTTTTCTTATCAAAGCAATTATATAAACTGTATTCTTTTGTTTATCAGACATGTTCAACATCCTTTTATCTACATCATTTTGCAATGCACACAGTCCTATCCAGCTAAAATGGGATCCACATAAAAATGCAAGTAGATTTCAAAAGAATTAAAGGTTTTTCATGTGATCAGTATTATGATTAGTTTCTGAAATTTACAGTAGTACAGAATCTGTGCTATAAAGCAAACAAGAAGAGGACATAATGCTAATGTCTTAAGGAACACTGAAGTAATATGATTTAAAACAAAGCCTTCTGTGATTTGTACTTTTTTTACTAGCAAATGACCTCTGCCCTAATTATGCATTCTATTAATTTGAACTAGGATAAAAAAGCTTACTCCTTTAGCTCATATGAGTATCTGAGGACCAGTACTATTTACATTATTGGCCCAGTAATGAATGTAGGACTTTTAAAAAAACAAACATACATATAAAGCGAACATATAAAGTAAACAAAATATGTAATGTTAATCCCTTCAAGGATCACCAATGTTATATTATTTAAAATGAAGATTTGTTATTTCTAGTTTTCTTATTTACGTAAGTATCTCTGTCCCTCTCTTTAAGTGCCAGTGTGCTAGTTAGGGTGATTTATAATCACTGTACAAACAGAAAGCTCACATTTGAGGGGGAGGGAATACACAAATGGGATGACTTCTGTGTGCAGAACCAAGAAGGGGTAACCTCTCCTTTGCCCTATAGCCCCCCGCCATGCACCCCTAAAATCTGCCTAAGAAGGCTGGAAGACCCTTCAAAGTTCTCCGGTAACTCCAGGAACTTAAGGAAGAAAGGGAGAGAGAGGGAAAAACTTTATTATGTGAGCTCTACACTGTTATTGGATCTAGATCAAATTCAAAACATACAGGAAAATGGATTTAAAATGCAATAAAGTACTATGTTAAAAACACAGTAAAACCAGACACTACACACAAAACATAAGATACTTCACAAATGAAAGGTGGCTGGAATAAAATTATCTTCATCAAACAACCAAAGATAACCATACATGCTTCCCAGGGAGGTAACATATTTTATAGCCCTGGTGTAGCCACCGAGAAGACCCTTTTTTCTTATTGCCATTAACTGCTATTCTACTCTAGATGAGACACAAAAAAGGATCTCTCATTCTGATTTTACAGAGCAGGCAGGATTTTATGGGATGTTACTGCACTGAAGCTGTTCCATTTTGTAAATATTTAGTAAATCCCATCAACCTTTTAGCACTTCTTTCTCTTTCTTACAACAAGTTTATAAGCCTTCTTTGTTAAAACAAAAAAACACCAAGCAACTGTCTTTAATCTACATCCTAACCTCTTAAAAACGCAGTATGTTGTTTGAAGTATGTACTCTCCAAATAAAACCAGAATCCTTTTCCTACTTGGGTTTTACTTGCACCTTGCTTGGCATAAGGATAACGGAAAAAAGTCAATCCATTATTAATAATTTTGTCTTTTAGCATCTCAAGCTGGTTGCTTGTTCAAAATTTATGCTTTAAGCCCCAACTCTAGATGTTGTTATAGTGATTTGACAAAATGCCAGGCACATGGGACCAGGCTCTTATGATTGACATCATGGCAGCTTTCTAGTTTTAATTCTGCATGTGTAAATATTGCATACAATACTGGCCAAAATATTCTAATGGATAAATGGATTTTCCTATCTGTTTAGTGTCTGGGGTTGAGAATCTCAGGCTTTATCATCATTCAAGCTGATGCCAGAAAATGCTAGCTGGATTTTATTACTCTTTTTTTTAAAGATAAGAACAGTAATTGCTTTCTATAGAATATAAACAGAAACATCTAGGGTTGGGTTCTGTCTTACGTCAAACTGAGAGAAGACCCAGTGAAATCACCAGGCCAAGTTAGGCATGACTAATGTCAAGTTCCATAGATTTCATGTGTCTAAGCATGACTGAATCTGTGTGCACCCACTCTTTGTTCTTATGTTACATCCACAATCAGTATCTATCAAGACTACTTTCACCACGAAACTTAAAGCTCCCCGTTGGAGGTGGGGAAGTGTTGTGGCAGTGCCTTTTGCAGTTCAAGAGGCTTTAATCAGCTTTCCAGTTCAACTGCTACTGTATTTGAACGCAACAAGCAACAGGCCTTCTCCGACACTCGGGATTAACCTCTGTGCCCAAAGGTCAATGTGAAAAACCCTCTGGAATCTTAAACGATGTTTGCAAAGAAGGAAAAAAATCTCTGGACTTACGATTTGAAGAAGAGGCTGTAGGGTGGATTTGTAGCCATCAGCTGAGTTACTATTGACACAACTATTATAATAAAAACAGGAAGTAACTGGATAAATGCTGAATAGGAATTCTGCAAATGAAGAAAAAGGGCTAGTAAAGCATGTAAGATAGAGATGGAAGGAAATCAAATTCATAAGAGCAAAAATATAGCTTTCAGGTAGGACATTAACATCTGGCAAATTGATCTTTAAAAGGGAGTAGTCATGATGAGATAACATATATCGATGGACTTTTACTATTCTCTGATCAAGGTTCTTTAGGTTAGCACAATTGACATAGCAAGAACATTACTGCTTTCATAAAGCTTTGCAAGGCATCAAAAAAGGATGCTTACCTGCCCCTTTTTATTTTGTGTGTGTGTGTGTGTGTGTGTGTGTGTGTGTGTGTGTGTGTGTGTGTGTGTGTGTGTGTGTGTGTGTGTGTGTGTGTGTGTGTGTGTGTGTGTGTGTTTTCAATCGGTTCCTATTACTCCTATTCCTAGCACTGTTCTCAACAATGTAAAAAAAAGCTGTTCAGTTTGACTGAACTGCTATGATCTGATATGCAATTTTATCATGAAAGTAAAGCAGCATGAAGAATTTTCTAAAGTATTTAAATCCTTTTGTTTGAAGGCAACTCTAGCTGTAAATTATTACATAGCCTGGCAACATGCTGCTTGCTTTTCCCCCCAGTTCTTGCAGCTTCCAGAGCACCCATGACCAACCATTATCATGTGGCCAAAAATATTTTACATATGTGTGTGCGTGCCAAAAAAAAATAAGGCTGTATAAAGCCTGATTTTCTTCTAAAACAAGGTGTGCTGTGTTAACAACAATAATATACTGTCAAGTCAATTCCAACTGACAGCAACCTTCCCAAGGTTTTCTGGGTAAAGAGTGCTCAGAGATGGCTTACTGGTTGTGCCTATTGGTAGCACTAAAAACAGGCATTTGGGGTTTTAAAATGCCCATAGAAGTGAACTGGAAAATTTGTGGACGGTATACCTGCAATGGGCCACAAAAGTAAAAAATTCCCACATGCCTATTGAGGTTGCCCATCCCTGAATTATTTGCTTGGGTACAGTACCTATCCTTTTTTAAATAGGTCATTCTGAATAGTCGGCAAGTTGTGTTCAAAGCACAGCTTACAGAACAAATTCTTTCCCACCACTGCTCTCTGTGGCCTCTCATCTCCCTCCAGTAGATTGGGGAAATGTGCCTGAATCAGGGGGAATGTGCCATAGAGAGATACAAAGATCAGAGGTGTGCACATTTGTCCAATAATGTGCATTTCACAGAACTGGTGAAAACCCCTTTTTTTCAATCTATATTTACACATGCACTTGCCAGATCTGAGCTAACAGGGAACAGAAGGGTGTGTCAATGAAGAATGTATGGGATACGGCATTGGACTTTGATAGATCTGGGCTTATGGGTATGATGCTCACTGGTGATCTTGAGCAGATATCCCTTTCAATCTCACAGGCGTCTTGGGAGACAAAATGTGGCTGCTTTTGAAGGACATAGCAAGGTCACTGCCAGAGTTACAAGTATGACAGCTTTTTAAGAAACTTATGGAGGTTCAGAGAGGATGTTCTCTTAAATGATACACTCATCTCTGTCCTGTTTACCCACAAAATCATTTACTGATTTATTATATTTGTATCACGCCTTTCCATTAAGGAACAGCTTACAAAAACAATCAAAACAAAGTTTTTTTTAATATTGCCATGAGATGACGTTAATTCTGTTTGATCCACTGTGTTTTCTCAGAGACAAATGCCACAGAGTTTGGTAGGATTTGTGCCCACATACTGTATAAAAAGGTTCTCTCTCCAAATCTGGCCTAAGCTATTCTCAAATATCAAAATATCATCTTTTTAAAAATGTTAGGATATTACAAACAATACCAGTTTCTTTGCTAAGAATAAGAAACATGAAGCACTTTTGGAGGGCACTTAACAATTTTCCTCTCAAGTACCTGAGGTCTTGTTTCCTCCTCCTCTTCTTCCTGTGTCCAGGTTCTCTCGTGTCTGTTCCGCTGTGGATAACATGGGGGATCCATGGATGAATGTGAAAACATGTGTATGTTTCCTGTTATTTTTTTTAAAAAAGAAAATGATTGTCTTATTAGTAAGAAACGTTCCATCTACATAGGATAAAAGAGGGATCCTTATTCTTTTCATGACATAGCTTTCCTTTCAAAAAGTTAAGTTCCAGCCTTTATAGGTTGCAGAATGAACTAACTGTATGGTCTGGATCTTGACTGTCCTGTGCAACAGGAATGAGGCCTTCTCCATCCAGGTGAGTGAAATAAAGGTGTCTGCACTTATAGGTCTGTCTGCTGGGATGCCCACAATTCTGCCACGGGAATTCTTGGAGAATTCTAGGATTTGAAGTTTTTTTTAAAAAATACAATGACACACCCCCAGTGGCTGCTCCCAGGCTATAGAACTGCCTTCCATGGGAAACTGGCCGCTTTTCTGTAGTCCCCCCTGTCAGCAGACAAAGGCCTTTGTGCCTTGGTGGGCTTTGGGCTACTGACTGTGTATTCAGGAATAAGCTTTTAACCAGTGGTTGCTATACTTCTACTAATCCTTTTTAGCCAATGTATCTTTAAATTGATTCAATAATATAACTGATTTGAATGTATTTTGTTATAATAACTTTTTACATGTCACTGAATTGTGATGTGCATCACCTTGAGGCCCGCCATGGGAAGAAAAGAGGGATGAACATCTAGAAATCTTTACGTATACTAAATCTTATAGTGACATTGGATGAGTTTTTGTTTACAGTTCCTTTCTTCATTTGTACACATTGGGATGGAATCACAAAGGCTTCAGATTGTAATTACTGAAGGACTAATCCAGGTATCATCCATACATCTCCTAGCTGGCAAGATCTAGTCTTAATCCAAAGACGGGGAAGCTTTGCCTCTGCGGATGTTTTAGACTTCAGTTCCCATAACCCTTTGGCACAGATTGTGTTGGTGAGATTGATGGGATTTAAGCCACAAAGTTCCCTATCATTGGGATAGACTGGCTTCCCAGAGCTGAGATATGAATATGGTGAATCCACTATAATACAGAGAATCTTCCAGAGTAAAACCAATCCACACATTTGAGGAGAGACAGTTTGTTCCCCTGTTTCTCAGGTACAATGGGATACATTCCTCATGCTTTTGCCAGTCACCACAGAAATGCAGCTAGGATCGTACCAAAGCTCCCTAGAAGTGAAAGCATGTGCACAAAACATAATTTCTTGAGCTTTACTAGTAAATTAATGAACAAAGAGGATGAGACTAATAGAAGCTTCAACTTTTACTACAAACTTTTACCACAGGCAGGGGGTTGCTGATGTCTTACCCAGCATCTGACAACAAACACTCTGTTCTGAAAACTTTGGATGTAGGTTGAAATATAAATATTTTGAGGAAAAAAACAGCATCCTTTGCTGCACTTCAAAGCAAGAGCAGGAAAGGGGCACTCACCTGTTGGGAAGTTCCCTCCAAAAAACATATTAAATATTTCTTCTGGCGTGATATCAGTTTCAAACTCTCTATAATAGCGATAGTGCTTGGGTACATTGGTGTAGCAAATCTCCTCTTCCTCTCCAAATTGATCATACTGTAATCTCTTTTCAGGGTTACTCAAAACTGCAAATGCTGTGCCTATTGCTGCCGTGTGGAACAGAAAGAACAATAACAGTTGCGTAATGGTCACTAAACAAAAGAGAACCGAAATCTCATTTGATGGCAACTAACACAGGACAGCAACATAGCAAGTACTTTAGAAACATGAAGAGATCATACAAGAGGGAAAGATCTTTCCATTGAAACAAATAGTTTTAAACTCGTCCTGGAGAACAATAGAACGTATTAGGACTGGGACGACTGCAAGTGCTGTGCTTATTTAACAGAAGTAACAGAGGAAGAATATGTTATTTCCAATCTTTTATCTTACTTCCAAGATGCTAAATTAGTATGCATAGCTTAATGGCCATGTAATTTATGATTTTAGATCTGTGAAAATACCACGGACATAAAAACTCACTTGCACTTGGAAAAAACACAAAACAATAATTTTATTGGTTGTTGTGGGTTTTTCGGGCTTCTTGGCCGTGTTCTGAAAGTGGTTCTTCCTAATGTTTCGCCAGTCTCTGTGGCCGGCATCTTCAGAGGACAGCAAACTGTGCTCTGGGTAGGCATGAGAGTGGGTGGAGTATTTATGGCTGTGAGAAGGCTAGTTTGTGAGATATGCTATTGTCCTGATCAGGAGATGGTTGATTAGTGTGTTTTGTTGTGGCTGTATTGTTTTGATAAGGAGGGGAGATTATCTGTCCCTGTGGTTGATGGGTGTCATTAGCTGGTTTTTTGTGTGCAGTAATCCCTTGACCTTGTGGCTGGGTGGAGTTCCTTGACCTTTTGCACTCTGTGTTTTTGAGAGCTGGGAGCCAGGTTTTGTTGAGTTTCATACATTCCTCCTTCCGGTTGAAGTTTTGTTGATGCTTGTGGATTTCAATGGCTTCCCTGTGCAGTCTGACGTAATGATTGCTGGTGTTGTCCAGTATTTCAGTATTTTGAAATAGAATTTCATGTCCAGTTTGTTTTATGGCATGTTCAGCTACTGCAGATTTTTCTGGTTGTTTTAGTCTGCAGTGTCTCTCATGTTCTTTGACTCTGGTGTGGATGCTTCGTTTTGTGGTTCCAATGTATACCTGGCCACAACTGCAAGGTATCCGGTATACTCCTGCAGTGGTGAGGGGGTCCCTTCTGTCCTTTGCTGACCGTAACATTTGTTGTATTTTTGTGGTGGGCTTGAATACTGTTTGTAAGTTGTGTTTTTCCAGAAGTTTCCCCATGCGGTCTGTGACCCCTTTGATGTATGGGAGGAATACTTTGTTTGTGGGTGGCTGTTTTTCTTCTTCAGTTCGGTGTTGTTTTCTTGGTTTGATGGCTCTTGTGATTTCATTTTTGGAGTAGCCATTTGCCTGTAGGGCCCAATTCAGGTGGTCGAGTTCAGCGTTGAGAAACTGAGCTTCACAGTTCCGATTTGCACGGTCTACCAGTGTTTTGATTGTGCCTCTTTTTTGCCATGGGTGGTGGTTGGAGTTTTTGTGTAGGTACCTGTCTGTGTGGGTGGGTTTTCTGTAGACCTTTTGTCCCAGTCGGAGGTCAGTTTTGTGTAGGACCATGACATCTAGGAACTGGAGTTGGCCCTCTGTTTCTTTTTCCATGGTGAATTGTATATTTGGATGGATGCTGTTGAGATGGTTGAGAAATTCTTCTAATTTTTCTTCACCGTGACTCCAGATTGTAAAGGTGTCATCCACATATCGGAACCAGACTGTGGGTGCGAGGGGTGCTGAAGCCAGGGCAAGTTTTTCAAAATGCTCCATGTAGAAATTTGCTATAACCAGGCTGAGAGGGCTGCCCATGGCCACTCCCGAAAAACCCACAACAACCATTAGATCCCGGCCATGAAAGCCTTCGCGAATACAATAATTTTATTCTTAAAAAATGTTTTGTAGTCAGATTTGAAGCTAAATATGCACCTACCACTGGTACTGTCAAATAAGACCTTGCTTGTACACGTATGGAAATAGAAATTTTTTACAGAAATTAAACTGTACAATAAATTTGTTATAATGGCAAGGGCTTATGATTTTGAATGTCCAGTTCTTACGTGTTCAGCTACTACTAAGAAGATGACATTTGTTCTTTATGAAAACTAGACATCCAGCACCTTGTAACCCTTCAAGTCTTAACCATAATATCATTCCCTAAAGCTAAAGATCTTTGGACAACTCCACAAAGGTTCTATTCTCTCCATTTCACCAGATCCAATTCTCACAATACTATACATTAATGCATTTTATTTAATTTTTTTAATTGATTAGTTTTAAGATTTTAATAATTTGGTTAATGTTATTTAATTACTAGCTACTTTGAAGTTTGTTTTTTGGGTGGTGGAAAGACAGGGTGTAAATTGAATGAGTGTGTAAATCAATAAATACCAAGAAATAGAAATGGGCACTTCTTTCTGAGCAACTATAAGAACCAATGCCCTGCCATGTGGAGGGTGATCACCATTTTATAAATCTGCATTTTTCACATAGTGAGGAAGACATAAGGAAGCAAGCAAAGTAGTCAAGAATTCTGCTGTGCTTATCGGTTGCAAACATTTCAGGGCTACATTGTGCAATAAGACTGTTAGAACAATAGTTTTGTTGTTGCTGTGCCTTTGTAACCAAAGCAGAAAAAAATGGAAAAAGAGTTCTGCTAGGGTGAACTTTTGGGGCTTTCATCCAAAGACTTTCTCACTGCTACCTTACAAAACAGTAAACAACCTTCACTGCAGCCTTTCGGGGTTATTTTGCTTGCTTCTACCTTTTCAATCTGTTCTTCAATTGGCCGGTAGGTCACAGATCCCTCTTTACACTTGGCAAAAGCCTCATCTAGTAATTTTCATGTACCTTTGAATGCATCTGTTGCCCCCGGAGCACAGTTCTTATCAGGGTGAAATTTCAGAGCAAGTTTTCTGTAAGCTTTCTTCAGGTCTTCATCTTTTGCATCTCTCCCCACGCCTAAAATCTCATAGTAGTTCTTACTGTTCTTTATTCTGCAACAAAACAACAATCCTTGAATTGTTTATCTTTTTCTGAATAAAATTTGAAGAAAGGGTCGTAAAAGATGCTCAGGTGTGTTTTAAATTCTGGTAATGAAAATGAAACCATTGTTACGAGACTTCCATGAATGAAGAAGCTATTCTAATCCTCTGTACTTGGTTGATGGCAAGTACATCAGAGTTTCTAGGGTATCAGAAAGGGCCAAAGATGACTCTGATGTTGAGCTTTCAAAAACAAAACCCAGTTCCTTTTGACTTATAATGACCAGGAAAATGAAGAATGGCAGTGCTGACATTTCTCAACCTCACTGATGTGACAGAGCGAAGGAAACCTAGAAAGCTAGTCATACCATGAGAGAGATCACTGTTCCTTGGAAAAGAAGACAATTAAACGATAACAGCATGTACTCTTTCTCTTGAATTTCTCTCAACAAATAATTTATAGATTAAAAGGGAAGAATTTCATTTTATCAACCTTCATAGTAACTGCCTTTAGCAACTTTGCAAGTAGCATCAAAGAGACGTATCATTTGAGAAACAAAAGCCACCATCAATTATTTTTCAGTGCCCATTAAAATATAAGAGTTTGATTTCTTTTGTTTACACTACATTAGAGATGGGATATTCATTTTCACCCAGTTGGACCCTTCCCCCAGAACTGGGCTATCCACTTACTGCTTGCAGTGCATGCGGCTGCCATCGTTCACACCGTGCCAGCTGCAGAAGTAGCCCATCTGGGGCTTGCCCACCTCCCTGTGCTGCCAGCCACTCTGGCAAGGAAGCAGGATGACAAGTCTCCCTGCTCAGGTGCTGAGTGGTTAGCAGTGGAAGGAGGCAGGGAAGCCCCACCCTGGCTACTTCCACAATGGGTGCAGCATGAACGGGCAGAGCCATACACATAATGCTACAAGTGAACCGCCTGGTCCTGTGGGGAGGATCAAACAGGTCCAGCCACCTGTGGTGATGATATTCATATTCGTCTCACCTGGGAGACAAATATGAATATCCCATCTCTAAACCGCATCATTAATTTTCAAGCATAACGATGAAAACTGGCTTCTGATATCAGCTTAACTACTAATATTTTGATCCATTAATTTAAGAGACAGAGGCTCAACAAATGAATACATTCTTTAGGCTCCCCAGTGGTTTGGGGCTATCCTCTACAGCAGTGGTCCCCAACCTTGGGCCTCCATATATTCTTGGACTTCATCTCCCAGAAATCCTGGCCAGTAGAGGTGGTGGCGAAGGCTTCTGGGAGTTGTAGTCCAAGAACATCTGGAGGCCCAAGGTTGAGGACCAGTGCTCTACAGCCAGCACTGCTGCTGGCCACTTGGGGTGGTGGTGGCCTAAAGCACTTGGAGGGCACCAATTAAGGAAAAGCTGGTTTAATCTGAAAGGTGTCCTACCTACCTTTGCACCCCCAATAACTGGTCCTTTGTGTAAGTTCTGCTTCCCTCCCCAGGCACAGACCGGTTCCTTCCATTGTCAGATGCATGCTCCTTCATTCTCAGACAGTCAGTACAGCCACAGTAATCAAATCTGTCTCGCATTTCCTCCGATGGACATGGATTTCTTCTGAGCTCATCAATTAATGCTGCAAAGAAAGACAGGCCTCTTATTTCTATATTTATGTAGTAACCGAGCAGGTGGTATTCAGAAGGATAATGCTCTGAAACTGGATGTTCTATATAGTTATTCATCCAAAAAGAGAGAGAGAAAAACTGTAAATATTGCAAGAATAAATGGAGATTTTACTTAAATCTGTTCATCGCAACAGCAGCAGATCCACTGAATCAACACTACTTACATAAATATTGTTGTAGCAAAATCACATTGATTCAAAGGGTCTACCCTTGTAGGGGACTCACAATTTAAGATTGCCTTTGTGTACAGTAGTTCAGAGTGGGGGCGGGGGGAGAATGGAACAGCATACTTGGATCAAAAAGTCTCGATGAAATCATAACTTACATATAGTGTCTGCAATGCTGACATTACACTCACTGGGTGACTTTGGCCAGGCACACTCAGCCTACTTCACAGGACTGTTTTGAGGACAAAGTGCAGAGGAGAGTCATATATGTCATTGTAGTGTTCACCCTTTGTTAGGTAATAAGTCATGTATTATTCATGAGTTATATGTTAATGTGGTTAACAGGTGGGGTCATAAGAGATGTTAAAAAAAGACAGAGCCTGAGAGGAGGAGTCAGAGAGTCTGAGTCAGGGTTTAGAATCGGAGAGAGGGAGAGATAGTTTGGGGATCTGAGGAGTGATTAGTCTGAGGAGTAATTAGTAACCTGTGATATTTAATAAAGAAGATTAATATTGATGCTTGGTGAAATTGAAAGAATGTGTTTATGAACTACCCTAGAAACAATCTGTAATCAACTGTTCCATTAAAAAGTCAGGACTGAATGGACCGTCATCTTTTCTAAGTAAAGTATGTTGATAAGGAGATCAGCTGGTGGCAGCTTGTCAAGAGGTTTTTGGTTTACCTTTGTGAGCTCTCTGTTTGGGGAGGCAAACAGGGCCACGAGAGCGAATGTCACAATTGGTGTCCAGTGGCGGGATACGAAAGAATCCAGTAAAGCCAGAGTTGAAAGTGAATTTTTTTGAGTCAAGGGTACCTTTTTAGTCAGAGGTCTGTGGTGAAGAAGTGGTGACCAGCTAGAGCTTTTGTGGAACAGCTTAGTGGTGGGGCTTCTGATCCCAGATCTGGGGGAACTAAAGACTGAGAACGACTCTGAAGGGAAAAATCCTTATATTTACCTCAGAATTTGAGAGACCTTGTGGCTAGCTTAAATCCAAGGCTCTGAGAGTTAAGGGAACACTTGTAGCAGTGGAAGCCAGAGGTTAGAGCAGATCTGACAGGATAGAAAAATCAAAGCAGAGGCTTGAGATATAAAATTATTTCAGTGACTGGAATTAAAAGCGGAAAGACAGATCCTTTTTAAAATCAAGACTAATTATCTCAGAAGTAAACATGCCCTAAACGTAGCAAAAAGGGGAGTCGTGAGGCAGTGAGTTTACCTCAGGAAATGGAGGGAAATGGAGACCCTTTAACTCCAATGGAACAGGAGGAAATTGCTGAGAGTGCCTCAGAGAGACAAAAGGATCTAGGTGCCCAATATTTTGAAAAATAGAAATTACAACAAGAATTTAAATTGAGGGAACTAGCTATGAAAACCAACTAGAAATGGAGAGAAAAAGGCCAGAGCTGAGGAGAAAGCTCAGGAACTACAGCTCATGGAATTAGAGATTAAGGAGAGAGAAAAAGCCAGAGCTGAAGAGAAAGCTCAGGAGCTACAGCTCAGGGAACTAGAAATCAGAGAAAAGGAGAGGGCTGAGGCCAGACAAATGGTATTAAAACAAATGGAATTTCAAATAGAAATGAAAACATTGGAAATTGCTGCTCAAAACAATAATAGCAAGAATAACAACAGCACACTGAGGGAAATCTCTCAAAATTCGAGGTAAAGAAATTTCCCCAATATAGGAAAGAAGATTGCCCAGAATCTTTCCTTATTTCATTTGAGAGAGCATGTTGGGACTTTGATATCAAGGATGAAGAAAGGATGATAATGCTAAGATCACAAATAAGTGGAGATTTAGCAGAACTGTATTCTCAGATGCCTTTACAGCAGGCTAGAAAGATGGTATATTCTAGATTTAGCATAAATGCAGAACACCTGAGGAGAAATTTCATGCCCTTACCACAGAGCTTGAAGAATCTTATTCGCAGATAGGGGCTAAACTGCTTCAATGTTTGGACAAATGGATGGAACGTGAAAATGTTCTCTAGAGCAGATAAAAAATGTGATTGGGTCAGGACAATTTTATTCTATTTGCCTGGGGAATTGCATTATTTAGTTAAAGACAAAAATCCTAAAAATTTATTAGAAGCAGGTGAAACAGCTGATTACATTGGGGAGATTCGAAACCACAAGTTCTCAGAGGTAAAACTTAACAGGCAAAATTGGGACAACAATAAGAGACCCTTCAATAAAAATTACCTCAAAAATTACCTCAGGGAAGCTGTAACAATGGTTCTGTCTCCATGGCAACTAGCACAACAGAAAATTCTGATCTGCCACTAGCCAAGGTCATTCAGCGTTTTCTTGTAAAGACAGAAGATATTTTAGTACAAAACTCTGGTGAGAAAATTCTTATTAATGAGAAGTCTTATGTAGGAGTGATTGATACCTGCTCCAACATAACCCTGTGTCATCCTAGAGAACAAATAATTCTAAACCAAACTGTTACAATCAAGGGAATAAGTTCTACTCCAGTGATTTTTCCTATGGCTAAAGTAAAGATGAACTACTAGAGAGACTGGGTCGGAATTTGGGATGTGGCAATTTCTGATCAAATTCCAGCACCTTGTTTAATTGGGTTAGATCTAACTAAGCATGGGCAGAGTGCTTTGGGGGTAACATGTGCCCTGGGAGAGCAGTTAACAATCCCTGAAGGAAAAATGGAATCCCTAACCTCTGAATCAAACCAGGGATGCCCCAGTTTAGAGAAGAACCCTGAGGTAGGAGAAATGGCTGATAAGGTTACAGTGGGCCCTCAACTTACAAACGGCTCTGGTTGCAAACGTTTTGGGTTACGAACCCGATCTCATAGGAAACTATAGACCCTACTTGCGAACGCGGCAATGAGTTACGAACCCAAAAAAAGGGGGGGGAAAGGGGAAAAGAAAAAAACTCTGCCCCTAGTGGTAGGAACGGATTAAGCAGCTTTGCATTAGTTCCTATGTGAACTAATGAATCGACTTGCGAACCACCCCTCGATTTAAGAACCAAAAACAGCTGGAACGGATTAAATGGTTTTCAGTGCATTCCTATTGGAAATTTGGTTTTGACTTACAAACTTTTCAGGTTATGAACAGACTTCCGGAATGGATTAAGTTTGTAAGTCGAGGGCACACTGTACATTGAAAACCCCTAATGATACTTCCTGTATTGATTAACGGCAGGAAGATGGTATTTTTGGGTTTCAGGCCGGGTTATGGGACGGAAACTGCCTTGGTCGCCCTGTATGACGACCTTTGCCGGGAGAAAGACAGGGGTAATGCATCCCTGTTGATTCTCCTGGACCTCTCAGCGGCTTTCGACACCATCGACCATGGTGTCCTTCTGGACAGACTGGCTGGGATGGGAATTGGAGGCACTGTTTTACAGTGGTTCCGTTCCTACCTGGCTGATCGAGTCCAGAAGGTGGTGCTGGGGGACAGTAGCTCTGACCCATGGCGGTTGCGTCATGGGGTTCCTCAGGGCTCTATACTGTCCCCCATGCTGTTCAATATCTACATGAAACCGCTGGGGGAGGTCGTTAGGAGGTTTGGGCTGAGGAGTCAGCAATATGCTGACGACACCCAGCTCTACCTCTCATTTTCTACCAATCCAGGTGTGGCAGTCACCGTTCTGAACTCGTGCCTGGACTCGATAATGGTCTGGATGAGGGTCAATAAACTGAGGCTCAATCCAGACAAGTCTGAAGTGCTGCTGGTAGGTGCCCCGCCAGATAGGTTAAAGGGCCATCTCCCTACCTTAGACGGGAACACACTCCCCCTAAAGGATAGGGTCCGCAGCTTGGGGGTGCTCCTTGACCCCAGTCTGACCTTGGAAGCCCAGGTGGACTCGGTGTCCAGGGGTGCCTTCTTACAGCTGCGGAGAATATATCAACTTCGCCCTTACCTGGATGAGCGGAGCCTGGCAGCAGTCACTCATGCACTGGTAACAACCAGACTGGATTACTGCAATGCGCTATACGTGGGGCAACCTTTGAAGACGGTCCGACGACTGCAACTGGCACAGAACCGGGCTGCGCGGCTGGTAAGTGGTGCCGCCGCACGGACTCATATCACACCGGTTCTGAAAAATTTACACTGGCTGCCGGTTGCTGCTCGGGCCCAATTCAAAGTGCTTACTTTGACATATAAAGCCCTAAACGGCTTAGGACCTGGTTACCTAAAGGACCGCCTTCTTCCATATGTGCCTGCCCGTCCTCTAAGATCAGGCCAGGAGGCCCTTCTGAAGGTGCCATCCCTGAAAGAGGTGAAGGGGATGGCATGTCGGAATAGGGCCTTCTCGGTTGTTGCCCCCCAACTTTGGAACACCCTCCCTAGAGAGATCCGCCTGGCTCCGACACTCTTGGCCTTTCGGCGCCAGGCAAAGACCTTTCTGTTCACCCAGCATTTTAATTAATTA